TCATTTTCTGAACTAAGGTAGGGGAAAAAAAAAGGCCAGAAACAGAAGATAAAGATTTGCTGTATAAAGAGCATATGTGATGAGGAAAGTTCTTGAAGGGCAGCAAGTGCCCTCTAGAACAGGCAGTGCACAATTGTTCCTTTTATGAACTGTCCATTTTGTCCCTGCCACTTCCTCCAAACGCTGCGGCTCCAAGTCACAGGGGCAAAGTGAATCTATCCGGGGGCATTCACAACTGCTCTCCCTAATCTCACAAGCCTCAAAAACTAATAGGATCCTAAACGTGGTTATTAAAYAACAGTATTTCTGTCACGGGCTCTAAAAGCCCAACAAAGCCCTCAGCCCAGTTTTCAAAACAGGAAATATAAGCAGCGAGGAAAATGACAGACAAGCCGCAAACGCCAAGATGTTCAAGTGCTTCCAGGGCTCTCGCCCATCATGGGGCGACCATCCGCCGGGACTCGCATCCCAGCGCCGGGATGCTGCTCTGGGGAAGGGACTGACACAAGTTCCCCTCGCCAGGGGCTGCCCCGGGACCCTCTGACCACCCTCCAGGCAAGGCTGGCACTCCCTCCTGCCCTCCCGTGAGATTTCCAGCACCCTTCTCCTACCCACTCGGGACGCAGAGGCACCAGCCGCCAAGCGAGCAGCCTTGCCCCGCTGCCAGCTGCTGCACCGCCTCGGCCTCCTCTTCCTCCCCTCCAGCACCGCCCCAACCTCAGCCCGGGGCTCCGCAGGCCGTGTCCACCAGGCCGGGCTGGGCTGGGCCGCGGGGCCTGCGCTACTCCGTGCCCGGTGAGGGGCCCAGGCCGCGCTGCCGCCGCCCTGGGGCTCAGGCCGCGGCCCTCTCGCCGTGACCCGGCCTGGCCCGCGTTACCAACCCCCGCCACCGCTTCCCCCGTGGCCACCCCCACCCATCCTCGGGCCGGGCGGGGACGAGGCGAGAAGGGTCCCCGCGCTGCCCCCGGGGTTCTCACCTGGCGCTGCCGCTCCCGCCGCCGCCGCCCGGCCCAGCGCTCCCCGGGCACCGCGCGGATCCCGCCGCCGCCGGGGGCAGGAGCAGCAGCAGCAGGAGGAGGAGGAGGAGAAGGGAGGGAGGGAACCTGCTGCTGCGGCGGCGGCGGCACGGGCGGGAGGGGGAGGCCGGGGGCGGCTCCGCGGCCTCCGCTGCGGGCACCGGGACTGAGAAGGGCGGAGGGGAAGGGTGGCGGGGGGTGGGGAGGGAAGGCTCCGGGCTGGAGGTAGGCCGCGGATCCCCGGCCTCGCGTGAGGAGCCTGGTCGGGCCGGAGCGCGCGCGGGCCGGCGGCGGCGGCAGCAGGACAAAGGCCTCGCGGGAGGGCCCGGCGGACAGGTGGGGCAGGCGGGGCGGGCGGGGCGGGGGGTGCA